GTGTGTGTATGCATGTATGTATTTGTATGTTTGTGTGTGTATGCATGTATGTATTTGTATGTGTGTGTGTATATATATATATATATATATAGACAGGTAGCACTTGAATGTGAGTGTGTGTGCATGCATATATGTATGTATTTGTATGTTTATGTATGTACTTGTATGTGTTTGTGTATGTATTTGTATGTTTGTGTGTATGCATGTATGTATTTGTGTGTTTGTATGTATGCATGTATGTATTTGTATGTGTGTATGCATGTATGTATTTGTATGTGTGTATGCATGTATGTATTTGTATGTTTGTGTGTGTATGTATGCATGTATGTATTTGTATGTTTGTGTGTATGCATGTATGTATTTGTGTGTTTGTGTATGTATTTGTATGTTTGTGTGTATGCATGTATGTATTTGTATGTGTGTATGTATGCATGTATGTATTTGTATGTGTGTGTATGTATGCATGTATGTATTTGTATGTGTGTGTGTGTATGTATGCATGTATGTATTTGTATGTTTGTGTGTATGCATGTATGTGTGTATGCATGTATGTATGTATTTGTATGTGTGTGTGTGTACAGTTGATAAAACTGAAGTTTGATTTTGGTATCCAATTCATTTTGCGGTTATCTTGGTAATAATTTGTTGATAGGTGTTGTAAATAAAAATTATAAATTTAATCGGTATAATCTTACTTTTCCATATTTCTGTGATTTAATTGTAACGTTTTTCTTACATTCCATATAATTTATTATTACTTGTGTAATGTAAGTAACTAACTAACCCTACTTACCTAACTATCTAATATATACTTATAAGCTGTAAACAATAAAAACAGTTTTTTGCAGAGATTTTGAACATTTTTTATTTCAATTCCTCTTTCTTTCGGCTATTTATTTTCTTTGTTTTTAAAATTATAAAATTAACTTAACAAGTGCTGTAAAAATATACTTGTGACCATTCTTTTTATAGGAGAAAAATCAAAAATTTTGTCGCAAAGACCACACAAAAAAAATGGATGCAAACTTAGAAAGGTTGTTGGGTGGTTTTTCAACGAAAAGCTACACAGTGGACTATCTGCACTCTGTTCACCGCGAGAAATCGAATCCAGGGTTTTGCGTTGTAAGTCCGTAAACTTACCGCTGATCACCTGGGGAACTTTGGAACGGACGTCAAAGTTGAATGAAGTATGAATAATGGAAAACACCCCCTAACAAAATAGAGAAATTAATTTCACACACTCATGTAAATAAATACATAATATTCACGACTCTTTAAATTTGTCCAAGTGGCAAGTAAATGCACGTAAATATCACTGCCACAAGTTTTACACGTATTAGTTTTGTCTGTTTGTTTCTTGAATTTCGCGCAAAGCTACTCAAAGGGCTATCTGCGTTAGCCGTCCCTAATTTAGAAATGAGACTAGAGAAAAAGCAGCTAGTCAACACCATCCATCGTCAACTCTTTACCAATGAAAAGTGAGATTGGCCATCATGCTATAACGCCCCTCCACGGCTGAAAGGGCGGTCATTTTCTGTGAAAAAATTCGAACCTGCGACCCACAGATTACGAATTGAACGCTCTAACCACCAGGTCATGTCAAACTTTACATTTTTACTAACTCATATCTTGAAATATAACCACAGATTTAATATACTAGGTGAAACATGTTTTTAATCATATTTTATTATTGGGAAAAAATCCAATCTGTTTTAATGTGCTTTACATTTCTACTTCAGTTTGAGAAATTCAAGACCCTCGGTGGGTCAGCGGAAAGTTTACGTACTTATAACGCTAAAATTCGGGATTCTATTCACCGCAGTGGGCAGAGTGTCGATAGCCCAATGTGTGTAGCAAGCAAGAAAAATTCGATGTTGTCCAAGTCATTAGAGGCATATATATATATATCCTCTATGTATGTAGGTGAACAAAGAGTTCATAAGAAATCTGGAACTCAGAAGGCGGGCTTCGTATCTCGTTTAGTCAATGTACGTCATTATTAACATTACTTAAGCGTCTTGTTAGCTAACGTTTGAAAGGAAAATTAAACTATCCAGGCAACAAATTGCGCATGAACATCGCTTCTTCTTCTTCTTTTAAAAACCCTGTTACCGTTCCACCAATCAGAAGCAGCGGACAGAGTCGTATCCGCATAAAATATGTAACTCGTTCATTCGAGAGTGTTGATTAGGGCCGCCTGCTTCTTCTAACGAGCAGTGTGAGGGGAAGGGTTGAACGCTTTGACTACTAGAGACCCATTCTGTGACGTACGAGCTGGGGCGTCATTACTGCTCTCTATTACTAGTTTTCATTTGCCTTCCGACCACACTCAGTAAAGTTATTTTCACGTACTGTACAATTAAGTATGCGGAATTTGAGCGGAAAATAAATTCAAAGCTAAGCAGATTATAATATAACAGTTTTTAGTTTCTCTAAACTATTAGTTTTGCAAGCTTGTTTGGACGTATAAAACAATGATAGAGAAAGCAGCCGTTAATTTTATTTATATACTTCATAGTTATTATGTACTCTTTTCTGCAGCATTACAAAAATAATGCAGATATGAAAGGTACAACTGCTAAACCAACCGTTCTAATCTTTACGTCATCAACAATTGTAGAATACACGTTATACTGATTCTTACCTTATTTTAAAAACACAGGCTGACAGAGACGTCGTCTTTTGTTTTGCTTGGTAGGTAAATTTATCTTCAACTCGGATTTTTCTTTAAATAAGGATAAGAATTTCTACAAACAAAGGTTGATAAAACGTTCTAAAATGGACGCGACCGACAAGACCAAGCTCAGAAAAATTTACATCCTGCGCATAAAAAAAGGAAGAAATCGATATCGATTGAAAGTTGAGCACTTAAGGGATGAGTGTTTTTACCAAGCCATTCTTGATGATTGAGACACCAGATATTCCTACCTGTTAATCAGAATTCATGATGTATGCATTTCTGAATCTTGTTAATCGATGTTATTATAGATTTTAGAAGAAACTTCAAAAACTGTGTATGACAAAACAACAGGTTTTCGCTACCGCATGAAACTTAAAGCAAGCATATAACATTTTTTTAGTCTATGGCAATATAACGAATTGTTTAATAGTTCTGTTGATAATATATGTAAATTTTTGTACCTTACATTACTAATCTGAAACGAATAGCAATACGTGTCTGTAATGTGTTATTGTACAAAATTCTGTTATATATATATATATATATATTCTGTGTTATATATATATATATATTTACTATATTTATGAGTAATTCCTAACTTCTCACTAGAGGGCGATAAAATAGGCATTGGAGAATTATTTCAGTTATTCTGACAACTTATATAAATATATAATTTATTACTGTTATAATAAAGATATGAATTAGGAAATATCTAATATATTATTACACGTACTTTTTGTTCTGTAGAAATATTTTAGTAGGTGATTTCATCATTGGTATTCCAAGCGGTGAGTAAACATTACACCTTTCACTTTCAGCATTAGGCCAGTAATAGTGATATTATTTCATAACAATTACGATTTTCAGTGAAATTTCCAGGTCTATCAACGAAATATGACTGTATCATGTAATTGTGAGTAAACTACTGAAAGTTATTTTGTTACTGTAGTGCTCAATACGTAACAAGATAAAACTCACAACTGTACAAAACTACTTAGAAAACTGTCTGAAAGTGAAACTCGGTGAGACAAGCTGTGCACATGTTTGATTACTACTACTCGTTTTATTTTTGTTTGGGGGGATTTTTTTAACATGTACACAGTATTACTGGTTATGGTATTAATATAATGCTAAATACTCTCCAAAACTAAAGGCTAAGACGTATGTATATTATTTTTTCATATCTTGTATATTATCTCCTATTTTTATTTTGAAATCTGTAGCTTTACAAGTGGTTGAGCTATTTATTCTTTATCTTATTACTGGGCAACTATCTTTCCATAATTGGCTGCAGACAATGAGTGTGTAGTTGGTTCAAGTACCCGAACCTGGCCCTCTAAGTCTAATAGTTTCAAATTTGTTCATCTGTTATTGCATGGTAGATTCCTACCAGCATTGGTGGACTGTCTTTGCTTATTGAATGCTACTACATAGTTCAACACTGTTCGTGACTTTATAGTTTTTATTACATTATTTCTGTACGTTTTATCTTTACACATAGTTTATGTTTTAACATTTGATACCTATATTTACATACTGATATATCATTGCTGTTCTATTTTTTACTTCTTAGGCATTACAAACTTTAGTGTGAATTTTTATAATTTAACAGAGTGCTTACCACAACAAGATATAAGTTATAGTAAATGAAAGATTTTAGTCTTGAAGTCAAGAAAATTAGGTACACATTCTTCTATGATGGACAAGAAAATACGAAACTATTAATACCAGTTTGCTACCTGCCATATTATTAATTTGCATCTTTAATTACTATTGCAGGCACTTGTGTGTAATTTTGTGTTCTAGTATTATGTCCTTAAAATCCAAATTTTTCCAGTTATTAACTAAAACATAGAATTGCTATACCATATATCAATTCTTCAGATTTTGATATTGTGCATAAGCATTGGTTATTTTATTTTTTTGCTGAGCAGACTGACATTATGATTACACTGTTATTCAATTTCTTTACGAAAAGTAATTTTTGTTGACACTGAATACTAACTCAATAATATGCAGCAATGACACTTTTTGCTGTTTTATTTAATTTTGGACTTGTACCCATAGGTTTTATTTTCAGATGAATTGCAAGTAATTGTTATTTTATTTAAAAGTTAACACAGATTACAAAAGGTATGCATAAATTAATGAAGTTTAGTTATAGAATAGAATTGTGGTGGTGTAACATGATTCACATTTTTCAAGATTATAAAACTCAAAAAAGTTCTAAGGTTAAAATATAAGTAAAAAATAAGTTAAAGTATAAACATAGTTTTAGAATTGTTAAAGTTAGATTAACCATCTAATTACTTCTACTTTTGTATTACAGAACTTAGAAACTGTTATTTATTGAGGTGTTTTGTGCTGATAATGGAAGAAAATAAAAGGGCTAAGAATTGTTCATGTAATTATAGACTTATTAACCTTATATCAGTGATGAAAAGAGTTTTTAAAATTCTAATAAGAAACGCTTTACAAAGTCAATTAACAAAATTTAAAATTTTCTTGAATAGTCAACATGGATTCTCTATGGGAAAATCTTGCATTACTAATCTTTTGACATTTTTTGAAGAGGTTACTATATATGTAGATAGGTTAAGGATGTGAATTTGGAGTATCTGTATTTTTCAAAAGCACGTAACAGAGTACGTCTTAAAAGGCTTGTTAAAACAAAGATCTATATAGTTATGGGGGATAAGTTGGTTCATTGGATAGAAAAGTGGCTGGATGGAAGAAAACAAGAGGTTTGCTATACACGGAGTTCTGTCAAACTGGATTAATGTTACAAGTGGGGTACCTCAGAGTTAGTGTTAGGACATTTGCTCTTTATGACTTAAATTTTCTGATGATATTAAAGTCTTGGTTGTTACTAGCTGTAAGGAGGGTGCTACTAGTTTACAAAAGGATTTAGATTATTTGTTGAGTTGAGTGAATAAATGGCAGATTGCTTTCAATTATATAAAATGGAAGGTAATGCATGTGGGTTATCATAATTTGAAGTATAAGTATAATTTTATTTGGGAATAACCTTAACAGTGTTATCATGGATTAAAAGAATCTTAGTATTCTGGTTGATCAGTCTCGCAAGTCATCTCACTAGTGTGCTGTTGCTAGTTGTAGGGCAAATAGATTTTTAGGTTGTACCTACAGTGGTATTTAATAAAAGTCTAAAAAGTTATAATTTCATTGTATAGATCACTGATTAGACCTCAGTTGGAGTATCGTGTTCAGTCTTGGGCTCCTTAGCTTAGGAAGGACATGTAAATTGTTGGAAATGGTTCAGAGGAGGGCTACTAGGATGTAAAATTTATCATGTAAGGACAGGTTAAGAGTTCTGAAATGTTTCTCTTGAAAAATAAAAGAAGTTATAAGGGATCTGATAGAACTGTTTGACAAGGTTAAGGGAATTGATATAGTGTTGATACTTTATCTTCTTTTTTGTAATTAATGGTGAGAATAGTAGGACACAACTATAAATTTTAGCAGGTGGGAGGCATCTTCTAATCGAGTGGTTGACATTTGGAATAGGTTGCCTTAAGGGAGTTTAAGGGAAGGCTTAATAAATATTTAAATGATAAGGACTGACTTTGAGGGAGGTTTTTTTATGTATATATATATATGTATATTTTGTTTAAAGTTTATTGTAGTAGATGAGATAGCTCTGATAGACCAAGAGGCCCCTTTTTGTCATTAAATGTTAATTATTGGTCCCTCAAATGCACTTTTCAACTAGCCAGACTTTTGGGTCTATTTTTTGTAATGAAACTGGCTGATTCTTTTATTAGTTAATCATTGTGTGTGTATATATAATGTATTTTCATAACTCAAACATAGTAACATAGGACCATAAACATTACAGTTGTATATAGTGATACTTATGTTACATGTGGCTAGATATTAGTACAGTATAAACAATGTGCAGTACATTTATAGCAGTTACTTTCCTGAACCTTTATCTTTTCTCAACAGAGTAATGATGAGTAAAACTTGAAATAGTTGCATGTAGGATTGTTGAATTGTAAAAAGCCAAAAGAAATTTCATATAAAGTATTTATAATGCACATTAACTAAAGTACTAACTGATTATGAAATTCTTCCAAACAAAATTGATTGAAGATGCATAACATGGAAAAAGCATTACCCCCCCAAAAAAAATTGCTCTTCACGAAAAAAAAATCCTTTTCACATCAGTAAGACTAGCTTGCTGCTATTTCTGAGTGATGGTTACAATTAATTCAAGCAAAAATAAGTAATAATGAATAATTCTAACTACTTTTACAACTATTAAAAAGTCTTTTTATGAAAATTCAAAGACATTTACTATCTAGTTAAGTGACATATCTATGTATCTTAATTACTTTTACCTTTGTTAAATATTTTGTCATTTTCCATTAGATGTAATTCCCAGTGCTAGTCTGTCAACTATTAAATAGATTTCAGCACATTTGTAAAAAAAGTAGTAGTTGTACTTTTAATAATTAATTAATATTATTCAAATTATTGCTGATGAATACCTTTAGTGAAAAAAAGAAAATATCAGTTATATATCACTTTTGTGTTGAGAATAGCTGGTAGGAAAAAACTATCAGTACATTTTGCTTTAATAATACCATTCTAACAGGAAGTTGAAATGAAAGTATCCTGAAAACTAAAAGCTTGTATTATGCACATGATACATTTATCATACATATAGTTATTACCTACAGTATGCAGGACTGACCTTTCAGTTTGTAAAGACTAAATCTCTATAGTCAGTATGGCTCGTATATTTTCTACCTAAGACTAAGTTTTCAATTTTATAAATGGGCCATAATTCTTAAACTTGGAGACCTTTCAAACATTGAAAAGGTGTTTCAGAAATCTATTTTAATTTTGTTGATGACTGAAGAATTATTGGGATAAATGTCGTCATATTTTTATAGTAATGGAAGCTGTTACAGGGAATATATTTCAACAAGATGATAGAAATTTTGTGCTAAAATATACCAAACTACCAAAGATATAAAGATTTTAGAATAATTAGAGCTGAATAAGCAATATATATATTTTGTCTAATTTTTTAATCCTGTTTGAAATCCCTGAAAAAATGGGTTTTGCACAAAAAATTACATCTCATAAGTTTTTTTCTCTATATCTGTAGTAACATTTTTAGGGAAAAATTGGAAAGATAATGGGATGAGGATAGAAGTACATGATTTAGATAAGATGGGCTAGGCTCCAGTTAAGTCAGTTTTGTTTTTCTAAAAGGTGATTGACTTATGGAATTAGTTGTGGAGGCTAGCACTTTATAGGAATCTAAGAAGATAATCTAACGATTTCCTTAAAAGCAAAGGGTGGGTTTAAATTTTTACTTTTCCCAAAGTTAGATGTGCAAGGACAGCCGTGAAGAACCAAATGGTCCCTTGTTGTCAGTAGTTTATGTTATATTAAAATTAACTTTTATGTGGTGGTGTTTTTCAGGTGGAGGATATAACTGACAGAGCAAGAGATATAACAAAGGGGTTAGCAGAGATGCAGTTTTTGTAGTGCATGTAGGGGCTATTGATGTAGGGAAAGGTAGGTCAGAGAAGCTAATTAATAAGTATAAGGGGTTGATAAAGTCACTTAAAGAAAATGGCCATAACTTAATTTTGTCACGGATACGGCCCAGAATTAACTGTGGGGATGAAGTTATAAGTAGGTCATTAGGGCTAAATGCTAGGCTTAGGTTAGTATGTAAGGATGAGGAGATTGGCTGGTTGGACTTGTGGGATTAGTTCAGTGGGAGAAGGGAGCTTTTTGCAATGGA